GTCAGTCACCAACAACAGTTCTTTTCAGAACTACACTCACCCGGACGATCACACTATACGAACTACTGATACTCCTGGGTTCAAACCATTTACTGTAAAATCTTTTAAATTAGAGTAGAATTCACATTTCAGCTTCCCTATTATTTGGAGCAATGTTTGCTCCCTAGGCAAAGAAGTTACCAGTAAAATTTTACTTCCCACCCCCTTTTTTTTTTCAAACTGCCCAATTTTCAAACAAATTATCATTCCCCTGGGCCATCCAGAATATCTGTATTCTACTGCAAGACTGCAAAAAATTTCAGAGAACACTTGAACTTATAACAGGAGAATATGGGAGAAAATGGGAAAGTTGATGGGATGAAGTGGTCATGTATCTGACCCCTGGGACGGCCCTCACGGGAAAAACTGCAGTGAACTAGTACAGGGGGGCGAGAAGTAATAGTCCTGGATACTTAATGGTAAAATGAGATTTAAGCTATAGGATAGGTAAAATCCCATGTATAAGAACCTAGCAGATTAAGAACGTACAGCCTGAAATTTGCCATTTAGATGTCCATCTTTAGAAAACCAATTTTGAGACTGAAATCTGGAAAATAAAAGACAGAGTTTGATGCCACTTCATGCAAAACTTATACTTTCTTTGATATTTGATTACACTATGTTGCAGGAGTCTATTCAGTCAGTTTGACAGGGAAGTCTGCGTTGGATCAAACAAATCAGAAATTCAATTTTGGCCGTTATGTTCAAATTACTCTTTCAAGACCATTATTTCCTGTAATTTATCTCAAATTATCTTCAGTTATTTAACTTTTCAATTAAGAGGACAGTATTTAAGTATTTATTTATAATTACAAAATCAATGAAGTCTCCTTTGTTGTAATTATTTGCATCATCACAAAATCCTTGTGCGGAGAAGAATTGTATGACAAATAAAACAGCTGCAAGGAAGACTAAACTTCTTGGTGCTCAATATTAATAAAAATCTTTCTACTGAGAGTTGATAAATTATGGCATTACTAAATAACATGCGAGCTCTTCTTTGGATAAGTCAACATTTTGACCATATTCGTTAAATTTAATCTAAAAACCTTGACTACTGATACCATTAAAACAAGGAAAATTCCTACAACGACAATCACCCTCCAGGCAGCAGAACCTTCACTTCCACTCCTATCCACTTTCTTCTCAAGGAACACTCCACCTTTTTCCAACATTGCTGCTCTACGCATTTGCACAAGATGAGCAGACTGCTGCATTTGGTTTTCTCTCAGTGCAAGCACATCAACCAAATCATCATTGATGAACATCCCTGTTTCCTTGCTCTGTATTAATTTCTTTGCTTCCCTGTCTTTCACCAACTGATCATGAGAGTACAGCAACCAGCGCAAGTACACCCCCAGCAAGCCAGTGGCCACACCAGTGACATGTGACATACACCCATCTGAAAAAAAAAAATTGTTTGTACATGTGTAAATGCATGACTGTAGCATAAACTGAACTAAATTGTTATAAGAAAACAACATGTTTTGACAGATCTTCGCTCATCTTCAGTTCTAAATCACACTGACCATAACAGAAGATATGTCAAAACATGCCTTCTAAAATCAAACTTTGCGCACTATTCTCAAACTTATAGCTTGCCTGCTGCTGTCTAGACCTTGCAGCAATTAAGTTGCTTTAATCCTGAAATTCCCCGGAAATTCCATGGTTTAAATCAGCATTCTCTACAGTACATGTATGACTTTTATGTTCAGTATCATCAAACCAGAAACTATGCATATCCCTGACATGTCAAAGACAGCCATCTTAAAAAAGTAATTGCAAGTCTCAAAAAGCAGACTAAGCAATCACCACATGAACTAATTTTTCCACGAAATTCCACGGCTCAATTAGTTAAAATTAGCTAACAGCAGTCTCCACATGAAATTCCTCTGCCTTTCAGATTGGCAAATGAGAAATATTCTTAAAAAAGAAGGAGTAAATATGTTAATGAAGACAACCTCGATGAAACTACAACATTTTCTGAGTAAAGACAAATCATACATGTCATTTGAATTCATTTTCTGGTTGTCCAGTCCACTATGACAATGGAAAGACTGCCAGGCTTTGCACTGATGAAAATTCACTATGAAAAGCATATTAACTATGATGCTGTGGCTCAGGTTTTTGCCGAAACATACCCAAGAGGAATGCTTTTTGTTGATCTCGTGTTTGATGAAATGTACAAAATTGAAAGAAATGCAGTACATTATTACATATTTAGAATAATTTAGCGTAGTTTTGCAATATTTTGATGCCAATGAGTAGCATTTTGAATTTAAAAATGAGACATTATAACATGCTGACTTGGTCTCAGAAAGCCAAAATCCCATTTCCGAGGAACTTGATTTTAAAAATTTTCTGGGGGGAATACCCTAAAAGGAACCACCTACGGTGGTCCATATCTTGAACTGCCTTCACTTCAATCCTGTATGCGCCCCAAGCAGCTACTTTTACATTTCAAAAAAGTCAATCATGAGACTGTGTAGTACCATCTAGTTCCTTCTCCAACAGCAGTGATCGCATTGTCCTCATACCCAGTGGCTTCCTAATTCAGAGAGAAAATTATTAGAAATATGACAGGTACATTATTAGCAGGCTTTGAACTACATACTAGGTGTCTGGATCTCCTGCAGATGCCCACTATTTAAAGTCTTTTTGTCACATGTTGCTTCATAACCTGTTGACTTATCCCTAAATGCTTACTTTTCACATCCACATTAATCAATAAGCTTCATGTAATAAAAGCTCAGTATCCACCCCATTCCATAACATCAAAATAATACAAATATTTTCCATGTTTCTTTTGAGTTTCAGAGGAAGCTTAGTTACATGTTCTGTAAGCTTCATGCTTAGCACAATTCTGATTGATTCTCCATTCTTGCCTATCAAGTGCATTGCTCCTGAAAGACAATTTTTTTCTTATTTCTGGCTTACAAATGCATGAAATAACTTTCAAGGTTTTTGGACTTAGACCCGTAAGAATTGTCTAGTACTTAAACTAAGAGACTACTTGCCTGTGTTCCCTATGAGAAATACCCAACTCTGATTAAATCAGTGACCAACATTTTCTCAGTCCCTCTTACCTTAATATTTGTGAAGATTTAAATTGAAGGCTTTTCTTGATGTTCCCAAATGGAGAATCAATGCCTCTCTTTTCTGTACCATCTGTATCATACTTGTCAATAAACTCACTCTGTTGAGCTCCCAAGTCATCAGTATCGGTTTCTAAAAACTGCTCCGTTTCATCATCATTATCATCTTGACGAACAACATCCCTTTTCTCGCCAAAGCAGCCATCATTTCTCTGCCAACTCAAAATCTTTCTCAACCGCTCAGTTGACAAAAAATCACCATAACCCATGGAACCACATACCATGGCTTGTTCCATATACAAATCCCGTTGATAGTAACTCTGATCTAATGTTCTCTTCTGCTCAATTGCTGTCATTTCAGGATACATATTGGAACAGATACGATTGTACACTTCTTCTAGTCCACCCTTGATGTTCGATTGTTCTAAACGTTTTACAAACACTGGAGTACAACCTGCCATTAAAAAGACATTTTTTTTCAGTCATATAATAGTTTAATTTATGAATTACAAAGGGGGAGGCACAGTATAGCTAGCACATAACATTCACTGAATTCGTGGTCTCGTGCACTGTGTTCAGTGTGTCCTTGGGTAAGACACTCTCTCAGAAACCCTCTACACCCTGATTTTACGCCAGTGAACTATGTAGTGAACTAGCATCTTATCTAAGGTGGAGTAAGAATACTCCTCACAAACAGTCAACTGTCATCTATTCACTGGTTTTCCATATTTAAGAGGTAAATAAATTTTAATTAATATGTGAATTTACTTTACGGGACTAAAATAATGCACATGTAGTTACCCTTCTGCCTTATCCATATTAGAGACGACCCATAATTATTATAGAGGGTTTTCTAGAGAAAATATGTGTCTTAACCATATTGCAAGGACAAAGGGAGCTGCCATGACACAAAGATGTCTGTGTTAGAGAGGTGTCTGTAAGGAGAAATTTGACCTCAGGTATTCACATTTAAGCTCATATTGGGGAGGCTGCGTGGCCAAGTGGTTTAGGGTGCTGGGTTTGAAATCTGGAGGTCCCTGGTTCAAATCCTCCTGTCCCTACCAATCTGGATTTGTTTGCGGTAGCCCCACATTAAACTCCTCGGCCGCATTGTGTAACTAAATTAATTAGCCAACTGGTCAGCCTCCCACCAGTTGGGATTCTTAACAGTTATTGTGGTCATTTTGGAAAATTTGTTGCAAAACTATTGTTAACCTGCATGATTTTTTTTTTCATTAATTTTGGGGAAATTTTGTCAGGTGGCCTTGGTTGGAGTAGTTGCACGGTAATATTTACTTTAATTTATTATTTATATTAGAAATATTTGCACTCTCACCAGTCCCTTTTCTGCAGCATTATCCTTCAGTTACAAACTTACCTTGAATCTCTCCAAGCTGAAAAAACAGAGCTTGGTGAGTCAAGGCATAGCCCTGTGCTCCCTCAGATGCCGGCAACATTAAGTCCCAACATTCATCAGATATGTGGCAAGGCTGACCAGAGGCTGACCCGTTTGCAGTACCAGTCAACTCAGTCATGCATTGGTCACTGGTTTCCTCGTTAAAGTTTATGAGATTCCTTCTTTTCTGGGGCTCGTTATTGTATTGTTCAGCAGATAGCTTTTTATTTGTAAAAGGTTTAAAGTTTGACCAAGGATAAGACACTTGTTTCTTGAATTTCTGATAATACTCTGGCGATGACTGTTGAAGAAATGGCATTGCATCCTGAGCTATCAGAGATGCTTTATTATGAAGTCCTTTCACCTGCTTTAGAACATTATCTTCCGCATTAAGTTGGTCATCTTTTACGTCATTAATAACTGAGAGCAGAGCTCCTGTGAAGGGCACAAAAACAAAAAAAAATATGTCTGGAGCATATGTTGAAGATATTGTGATATTAATATAGTTAGATTACTGTCATAACAACCACGGTCACTTGTAAATAAAACTATGTAATGGTAAAAAAATGGTTAAGTCTGCATACAAGAAAAAGTGGCCCATCAGACCGGAACTTATACCGGTTTCTACAGCATTAAGCAACTAGGGGTACTTCTACTCCCCTCTGGATGGGATGCTAGTGCATCACAGGATTAATTACCCCTAGCAGTACACTTGCTGTTACCCCTTTATACATCCGGGTGGAGAAAGCACTGTGAGAGTTAAGTGTCTTGCCCAGGAAAACAACATGATATCCCCAGCCAGGACTCAAACCCGGACTGCTTGATTCGGAGTAGAGCGCACTGACCATGAGGCTACCGCACCACCTGAATAGTACTAATGGTACTTGAACTCTAAATGTGCCAAACCTAATGTCGCTATTAGGTACAGGTAAAGTTCAATCGTCGCATTTGGACTGACGTTGCCATTCTATCTGACTGCGGCAGTTGAATAAGATGATGAAATTGTCACTTCAATTCAGTTGTCTTACAGTAATAGCTCACGTATAAGAACCTGGGTTTTAAGAACCTGTTAGGCTAAAATTTTCATTTTAAGCCCCCTCCACATAAGAACCTATTAAGGCTAACATTTTAAGTTAGGTTCTTATCAGTGGGGTTGCTGTAAAAGTGTATAGGTAGAAACTGCTGAATTAAGATCATCATCTATTTAAAAGTAACTTGACATAACCTTTTTTTTCTTTCAAGCTTAAGTACCATGTTGTATGTCTATTGCGTTTGCCATTCAAATAATTCCCCAAGTATTTGCAAATACTGTATTCTACTACAGTATCAAAGAAAGCTTTCTGACTAACTCCAACTCTGTGAGAATCACAAAATATTAAATATACCCTAATGAAATAAATAATTGAAAAATATCAAAACAACGTAAGCTCCCAATGGGCAATGCCTCAGCTTCTCAACATGAGTTTCTTTGTTATGTTTTGTTAAGGACATATACTGTACCTGCANACTCTTTTTTCCATCAAGGATAAAGCAGAAATTGAAGAAACCGAAAAAAGTTACCGCTAATGTTTCAGATACAGTAATAGCCCATGTATAAGAACCTGGGTTTTAAGAACCTGTTAGGCTAAAATTTTCATTTTAAGCCCCCTCCACATAAGAACCTATTAAAGCTAACATTTTAAGTTAGGTTCTTATCAGTGGGGTTGCTGTAAAAGTGTATAGGTAGAAACTGCTGAATTATGATCACCATCTATTTAAAAGTAACTTGACATAACTTTTTTTTTCTTTTAAGCTTAAGTACCATGTTGTATGTCTATTGTGTTTGCCATTCAAATAATTCCCCAAGTATTTGCAAGTACTGTACTCTCCTACAGTATCAAAGAAAGCTTTCTGACCATCTCCAACTCTGTGAGAATCACAAAATATTAAATATAAAATATCAAAATATATCGCAATGAAATCAATAATTGCAAAATACCAAAACAACGTAAGTTCCCAATGGGCAATGCCTCAGCTTCTCAACATGAATTTCTTTGTTATGTTTTGCTAAGGACATATACTGTACCTGCACTGAACTGCCTATAGGCACTGCTCTATGGTACAAATAAATGATTTATACTGTATTATGAGATGATATTTTTAATATATATAGTGTATTCAGATGAAATTCATATGAAAATATAAGAACCTATTTTAAGAACCTTGGTAGCCTAAATTTGCTTTAAGTACCATTTACATAAGAACCTATTTAGGCTAAATTGAAAAATTCAGGTTCTTATACGTGGGCTATTACTGTAGCATATTTGAGGAGTTCGGCATTGTAATACCTATTGCATCCCATAAGTATCCAAGAGTAGAGTGACTGAATGCATGTTCATCAGACATAAATTTATTTTGCACGTTCAAAGAGTTTTTTCACACGCCTTAATGTCTTTAATTCGTTCCACTGGTTCAAGGATCGTTGTTCCATCATCCTCTGCATACACATTTGAACAAAATATCTCTAACTCAAATTTTCTACCCACAAACAATTCAATTGCTAACATTTTCGACGCCAAATTGGATGTTGTTTCACTTGAAGAGTCAAAAGGGCTTGGAGATGAATTAAGTAGCTTCACATGCCCAATATTAAATAATAGAGGAGAAGCTTCGCGTGTCATGCGAAAAAATGTAATCACCGTTCCCTGTATTGTATTACGAGGCTTACTTACTTACAGTCTCTATCGTAACGCTGGTATTCGTATTTAGAATCGATACCAAAGAGGAGCAAAGATCAAAGCTTGAAGGACAGCACCTCTGGGTGTGTCGCAATTAAGTCGGAAATTTCAGTACTACTAATCACACAAGGTATTTGTGATCTTCTGGCAGGCGGAAGGAGAAAAAAAACTCACGGCCTAAAATTCTAATAATAGTGAATAGTCAGCTATAAAGGCATGTGACGTCAGAATGTCATAAATTCCAAAACATCCGTCGTATTGAATCCACTAGTCCAAATTCATGACTATTCCATGAAGTCAAAATATCGTTTTTGCCAATTATAACAAACTTAAACGAGAAGAGAAAGGGTACTAAAGGAATGAAAAGGTGCAGAAAACTGTTTGTCCCAAGAAACTCGAAAACGTCAATAAAAAAAACAGAGAATTAGATTAAAAAGCTCAGACTTAGGGAAATTATGCCTGACAAAGCAAGGTTGCCACGGAAACAAGGCAGAGTTCAATAAATAAGGCTTTTGGTGTGTGTTGTTTTTGCTCAGCTTTTTCCAGCTAACTCACACACTCAGTAAACAGCTTGTTTCATTGTATTTTGATTACTTTTCTTGTTATCAACATATGAAGTTTCCCCCTTACCTTCCAGTCATCTGGGTACAGGGTACAAATTTAGCTTCAAATCCGTCAGTAGTTAAATTAATTTCTAGCTTATGGTTTGGAAATATATATTTCCTTTAAATAATTTACTTTGGGATAATTGACTGGTTGTTAATTGCGCGGTCGGTGTCTAAAAATCTCTCCTAATAAGGAATTTA